TACTTTTAAGTAATCTCTACACCCAGTGTGGGGCTCAAACTTACGGCCCCAAGATCAAGAGTCGCATGCTCTACTGACTGAGCCAGTCAGGTGCCCTAAAACTATTTAAAAAAAAAAAGTTCTTTTGGGGAAAAATAAAAGTGTAAGCAGTGCCTTGAGCTCGTGTGTCGATCAGCCTGCAGTTTTCTGGTTCTGAGGTGCTTGGAAAAGCGTCAGCATCTGTGATAAGTGTCTGACTGGGGACTAAGGATCCCTTCTATTTTTTTTTTTTAGGTAGTTTGTTTTGTTTTGTTTTGTTTTCCTTTTTCAGTCATCTCTAAGCCCAGCGTGGGACTCAAGCTCACAACCCTGAGAGCAAGAGTCGCATGCTCTTCCAACTGAGCCAGCCAGGTGCCCCAAGAATCCCATCTATTTTAGTTAACAACAACGAAAACTTACTACATAAGAAAGAGAACATTTTGACACCTTTAAGAATTTAAAAATACATTTTGAAAAGGGTCTGAGTCACTTTCTGTATTCTTCTGAAAGTGCCCCAATTTTCATAACTATAAGTGAGTTGATCTCGGGTTTCCCCTTTGACTCCCAGGGTATGTTGCTGTAGGAAACTACGCCTAACATAAGGGTTTGCAGCGATGAGAAGATTTTGTCTCCTTTGTCTAAAAAATAGAAAACAAAGAACGACTAGCTTTGTTTTACTAAAATCTCGGTGGTGACGTTTTGGTCACCAACTATGTGCCATGGGTTGGCTGTGACAGACAGCACTTCTCTGTGTTTCTACCCTCCTAACACCCTGCATTGCTTTCTCCCCCACCTTCTGCAGTATGAGACCGTGACCATGGACTTTTCTCGGCTCCACATGTACACCCCTCCTCAGTGTGCGCCCGAGAACACTGGCTACACGTACGCACTCAGGTGAGCGTGCCTGCGTTCCGTCGCCCTCCCGGTCGCCTCCTGCCCCTGGATGCCGTGGATTTGTGGGCGCTTCCTGCTGCTTGCAGCCACACGCTGTCTTCTGAAAGTGAACGTTTCTACGGAGTTTATATCATACTATGGCTTTGCAAAACTGCTAAACTGACATGGAAATTGTGAGGTGGTTTTGAAAACTGAACATTTCTGATGACTCAGGGATGAGTCATTGCAAATGTACTGCTGTTTCGGACCCCGCCCAAGTGGCTGTGGTCTCTAGAATAAATCTTTGAGGTTATGGGTAGGGTTTTGTGATTTATACCGATGGCCGGGTATTTTAAAGTTAGTAGAAATAACCTGGAAAATGATTTGCCTTTGAGAGGAGGTATCCTAAACGGAATTTTTATGAAGCCCGAGGTTTGAAGAACACGGCTTTTCTCAGATGCGAGGTTTTCAGTTCTTATTCTGACATGATACTGAAGTTCACGGCTAAGTCTAAGAGTTGCTGAGTAGCCCTTTGCATGTCTAGTTCACCAAGTAGGAGTGATTATTCAGATGGATTATAAAATAGGGGATTGTGCCAAAGGAAAATATGCTACCGGGCGGGTTAGGGTTTGGCAGTTAGGAAAGCTGTTGTGGGGGTCCCTGGGGGGCTCAGTGGGTTAAGTGTCCACCTTCAGCTCAGGTCGTGATCTCGTGGTTCACGGGTTCGAGCCGCACGTCAGGCTCTGTGCTGACAGCTCGGAGCCGGGCACCTGTTGGGATTCTGAGTCTCCCCCTCTCTCTGCCCCTCCCCTGCTCGTGCTCCGTCTCTGTCTCTCTCTCAAAAATAAACATTTAAAAATTTTTTTGAAAAAGAAAAAACACCTGTCGTGTTCTGGAAAGACCTTGAAGGCACACGAGGAAAATGCTCATGTAACTTTTTTCAATGACTTGTCTTCTAAAAGGGAAAAATATAATTTAAAACTTAAGAAAATCGGAAGGTATTTTAACAAAGATGCTTTTGTTTCTTCATTTGAGAGTGAGTGCCTGAGCAGAGCAGAGGCGGGGGGGTGGGGGGAGAGAGGCGCATGCACCAGAGAGTATCATAAGCAGGCTCCATGCTCAGCATGGAGCCCAACGTGGGGCTCAATCCCACGAAATCAAGAGTCAGATGCTCTCAGATGACTGCGCCACTGAGGCACCCCTGGCAAAGATGTTTTTGCAGCGTTTTTAACTGTTTTTTTTAACAGTGTTAGTCAAACGTCACATTGAATGATTGCGTTTTTATTCACGATTCTAGATCATTGACTGTTTTTGTCAAAAGTTCTGAAATATGTTAGAACAAAGGGAGTGGGCCAACTCAAAACTGTTCCTTGTTCTGTATTGTGGAGCATAAAAATAATTACTCTCGGTTAATTATTTTTAGCTTTTATAACCTATTTTAAATACAGTTTTTTAAAAATGCACACGTGTGGGTCTCTGCACCGGGAAAGTCGCCCGGCTAATTTCGGTGCACGCGGCCCTCCTCCAGTGAGATGTGGGCGTAGACGCGGAAGTGTGGGCGGACCAAAGGGGCAGAGGCGGCCGGTGTGCTTGGTGCATCGTGCTGGGAACTTAGACTTGGAGGGCACTGGGAACCTGGCAAGGGTGTTAAGCCGGGAGCCGCGTGACCAGGCTTGTGCTTGGAGGGACTGCAGCCTGCAGGGGTGGGTAGGGTGGGTGGGGGCGGCCGGGAGACCATGGCGGGCCCCGAGGTGTGACGCTGTGGTGGCCTGTACAAGGGGCCCGGCCCAGCTTGGGCAGCTGGGGTGGAGATGAAGGAGGGGAGGGCGGGGACAGCGGGGCGGTCTGTGGGTGGCGGGTTCTGGTCTGGGCAGCCGCGTGTAGTGCAGGACCGGGCGCCGGGTGGCGGGTCGCGAGGCGAGTGTCCGGCGGTCGTGGTGGATGGAGCCCACGGCTGAGGCCCCGCGGCCCCCGGGGCGGCGGGAGGGGACCTGCCCCTGCCTGTTTGTCTCTGGTCTTTCCACTTGCGTCACCGCTGTGTTCCCCGTCTTTGAAACCTGCCTGTGCCACTGGGCTCTACCGGAAGCCACCTGACCTCACTGCATGTCCCTCCCTCCCCCGTCCCGAGCCCCGCTTTGACGCATGCGCCCCACGGCTACCTGGGCCGGTCCTTCCCCTCAGTTCTGGGGACTCTGCACCCCGGCCCAGGGCTGTCTGGCCCCGCCCCGATCTTCCCCCTTAGCCCCTGAGTACCCACCTGGAGGGTCCGCCACCATCCTGGTCGGTCCGTTTGTTTAACTGAAATGTTTTCCTGCTGTGGAGACTGTTAGGTGAAAGTCAGGGGTGGTGGTGGTAATAAGCCCTTGTGCCTCCTCCCACCTTCTGCTGTTTGGCGCTGGGCCCCTTCCCTCCCTCCCTCTCCGGTGGATTGTTCTGAAGCAAATCTTCACAGGATGCTTGCTTATTTATTTATTTATTTATTTATGTTTATTTTTTGAGAGAGAGCGAGCATGAGCACGAGTAGGGGAGGGGCAGAGAGAGAGAGGGAGACACAGA